GAGGGTCAACAGGGATAAATGGTGACAGAAGACTAGATTTGGATTTTGAGTGCACAATGCAATGTGCAGATGATGTACTAGTATTACAGAATTGCACACTTGAAACCTATATAATTTGATTGACCAATGTAAACCCATAAATTCAATTTTTTAAAAAAAGAGCTGGTGAAAATAAATGTAAACAGAGCTTGGAACTGTAAGCAGAGACACCTCCCCCCAAATCAGGTAGCGCTGCAGGCTAGGTGGACTCGATTCTCATTTGGAATTTAGCATTGCCTGTCCAAGAACTGAGAAGGTCGGTGCTGTCATTGTGGCTCACCTCTCGGGCTGTGATACCTGGGTCCCTGAGAAGTAAAGGACATCTAGGGTTAGGAAGAGGAGTGGGGTGAACATAGAAACTGTGAGATGGGACCCTCCTCAATATCCTTCCATGGAATTTTCTATGCTTGCCTTCCATTAGAAAGGAAGTCTCCCTGTCCATCCAACAGGAATTCTTGCATATATGGTTTGAATTTCATCCTCCCGCACCCATCATGTGGTCCCTTCTTCAGCTATGCCTTCTGTACCCTGCGTCTTAAATGTTCTCTCTCTACTAGTTCTTTACCATCCAAATATCCTCAAACCTATTCCATCCCAAAGGGAATTCCTGCCTTGACCTCTCACACTTCTTGCTGTATGCTCGCCCCTCTCTTCTCTATAAGACCACATGACCTCCTTATATTCATCTTCCCTAACATTCATTCATTGTTTTTTAATTGTAGGAATTTTGCTGTGATTTTATCAATCACAACACCATGTTCAAACATTCTACTGACACACAAAATTTGTAGTGAAAAGCAGCAGTGCCCTGCCAACTCCCAATCCCACAATCAATGTTATTTATGGCTCATGTGTTACAATTGTTTCTGAAGTCACTTGTATTTCATCTGTATGTCTCATTTCCTCTCTCTTTTCATTTCTTGCCATGTTTACGGTGATAAAACAAGGCTGTTTGCCTCCTCAAACAGATTTTTCCTAGTTATTTCCTGGTGGTTTAAGATGTTCCTTTATCCTCTATACAGTGGGGCCTTGACTTACGAGTGTTCCGACTAACGAGTTTTTCGAGATATGAGCCGTCTATCGGCTGATTTTTTGCTTTGAGTTGCAAGCTAACATTCGGTTCCTGTGAATTTAGCCACTGTAGATAACCATTGTTAGATGTATTAGGTTTTGCAAACTCTTGGTATTCTAACTCCATCATTCCTGCATCATTTCTAAGCCTGAATATACCTAAGAAGTGAAATATTGCCTAAAGATGTCTGGATTAGACATTGGCAAGAATGTGGAATTGGAATTGGTTTAAGGGTCAGTCTATTGCTGCACCCGCAAGTATGTCATTTAAGTGATATACCGAAGATCAGGCATTGGGGTCCGAGGGCCTGAGGTAGCTGTGGTTTCATGTCGAATACTTTTCTGGTGGAGGCATGTTAGATGTTCAGGGGTCACTGTATTCATGCAGCGTGAAGACCCACCAGGTCAGAGAGCCTGGAATAACAGGCTTGCTGCTATAGTATTAGATACATAAAAATGTATAGGCCATACTCTATCAAAACACAGGGTTTACCTTCTTAATATGTCTAGAACTTTCTATGGGCTACATTTCTATACTTCCCTTTTCTACATATTTCCTTATCATTACACTCACAGCAGGTTTAACTGTGGAAACCACACCTTGGTGAGGAACTTAGGTTTTATTTTTTATTCATTAGGAAGCTCTTAGAAGGGGTTAAGCAGCTGGCCCACATCACTCTAGTGGGATTGGTCATGGGCCTTGCATGCAGCTTGGTCTTCCTGCTGGGTATGTCAGAAAGGCAAAGCCCTGGCTGCCTTCTGCAGTGAACAACCATGAGCAATGAGGTCATGTTCCTGTAGACAAGTGGTTCCCAAACTTATTTGGCCTACCGCCCCCTTTCCAGAAAAAATATTACTCAGTGCCCCCTGGAAATTAATTTTTTTTTAATTTTAATAGCAATTAAACAGAAAGATATATGTATTAATGTTTCTACCTTTTTCGTAAAATATAGTAAAGGTGTAAATTAGAAACATTGAAGTTTGAAATTATGAAACTATTTATTGAACTCAGAATAGAAAGGTAATACAAAAAAAGTTAAAACAAATGCACCTGTGGCCATCACCGCCCCCCTGGATCGCTGCAGCGCCCACCAGGGGGCGGTAGCGCCCACTTTGGAAGAGAGAGAGAGAGAGAGAGAATGAACATGACCTGCTCACCTCAAGAGTGGTGAGTACCCCCAAGTCGGTGGTCCTCTCCTATAACGCAGCCCTGTGTGTGCTGTCACTCACCTAGACCCTCCTGCATCATATTCATAGGACTTGGTTGGGCATGAGGAACTGACGTGAACGTGAACTGTGGCTATCGCTTTTGTTCCATGTAATAATGCCCCTTTTTTACTAAACTGGAAGTTTTGTGTCTTCTGCTATCATCCTTCAAACAGCAAATCTAATTAGGTTTTAAGTTGGATAAAAACACAGACCCTTCACTGTTCTTGAAAATTACACCCATCCTATTGGCAAAAATTCAGAAGTGATATGTGCAGAGAAAAGGGCCCTCGGGTACCATGCTACAGCCTTTTGGGGAAACCAAGCTGCCAATAATATACATTGCTATATACCAGTGGTCGGCAAACCGCGGCTCGCGAGCCACATGCGGCTCTTTGGCCCCTTGAGTGTGGCTCTTCCACAAAATACCACCTGCAGGCGTGCACATACAGTGCGACTGAAACTTCGTGGCCCATGCGCAGAAGTCGTTTTTAGGCCTGGGCGAGTCTAGCACAAATTTTTGTGCAACGGGCCTTTAGTATTATTATAAAATATGAAACATTTTTTAGGTGCCCTGTTTGAGATGGCTACAAAGAAGAAGCAAAGAAAAACAGAAGACGAAAACCATGAATTCAAAGTTGAATTTAAAGTTGAATGTACCTACCTATACAGTTTAAGTTTAAAATATTTGGCTCTCAAAAGAAATGTCAATCGTTGTACTGTTGATATTTGGCTCTGTTGACTAATGAGTTTGCCGACCACTGGTATATACTTATTGGCAAACTCACTGAATTGTAGACATCAAATACGTACAGATTTTAGGTGTCAAGCATACCTCAAAGGTGGTTTTCTCACCCTGGCTGGTGTAGTTCAGTTGATCACGGTCCCATGTACTGAAAGTTCGCTGGTTCGATTCCTAATCAGGGCACATAGCCAGGTTGCAAGTTCAATCCCGGGTCATGGTGCATATGGGAGGTAGTAGAACAATGTTTATTTCTCTCTCTTTCTCTCTCTCTCTCTAAAAAAAAACAAACAATAAAGACCTATTTTTTAAGAGGTTAGCCTTCAAAAACACAAAACATCTCATATAAAAAAGATATATACACTTTAGTCTGAAATCTCATTTATGTGAATCTATGCTATAAATATATGGGTATACAAATGAAGGTATTCATTAAAACACTCATCATAGTTAATACTGAATGCCCATCAAGGCAGTAATCCTTTAAGCTAGCAAAGAGAACAGTTAAATCTCCATCTATTTACCTGGAGATATTCTCATGTATTTTGTTTTTTTGAGAGAAAGAGAGAGAGAGAGAGAGAGAGACATCAATCGGTTACCTTCTGTACACACCTCAACCAGGGATCAAACTTGTAACCTGGGTATGTGCCCTGACTGGGAATCAAACCAAAACCTTTCCATGTACTGGACGATTCTCCAACCAACTCAGCCACACTAGCCAGGTCAATGTATTGTTAACTGTGGAAAATAAAATGTGGAGTGTGACCTCATTTTTGTGGAAGAAATGACCCAAACTATATGAAGCAACCTATTAACAGAAAGGAGTGGGCAAGCAGAAACAGCAGATATTGACACTGGTTGTCTGTCTTGGAATAGGGATGTGGATAGAAAACAAAAGCGAGAAGAGGGATACATTATGTACTCTAGGTGCATGGACAACAAAAGTCTAATTACAGAAAATACTCTAACTTATCCCTGATTTCTGGAGTGTCCCTCAAGAAGTTCCTTCAGCCCAGCCGGTGTGGCTCAGAGGTTGAGCATGGGCCTGTGAACCAGGAGGTCACCTTTCAATTCCCATCAGGGCACATGACTGGGTTACAGGCTCAATTCCCAGTAGGGGGTGTGCAGGAGACAGCTGATGGATGATTCTCTCTCATCATTGATGATCCTATCTCTTCCTCTCTCTGAAATCAATTTTAAAAAAACATATTTAGCCATAGCCAGTTTGGCTCAGTGCATAGAGCATCAGCCCTCCGACTGAACGGTCCCGGTTTCAATTCCCGTCAAGGGCACGTCCCTCGGTTGCAGGCTCCATGCGGCAGTTGGAGGCCAGTGGGAGGCAACCAACCCATGTGCTTTGCTCACATAGATGTTTCTCTCTGTGTGTCTCTCCCCCTCCCTTCTTCTCTCCCTAAAAATCAATGGGAAAATATCCTCAGGTGAGGATTAACAAAAATAAATAAATAAATCATAAAACCATATTTTTAAAATACTTTTTAAAAGAAGCAGCAGGGCCTTCTATGGCCCCCAATGACAATCCCAGTGCTCCTTTAGCAAGTAGATGAAGAGAAAGTGGGTGCAATCGCCCAAGGACATCAGGCACTGCCAGCAAGAAAAGGGATTGGAACTCAGGCACCTTCAGAAAACACTATTCAATAGTAAAACTGCCGGGGAGAATGCACCCAGACTCAGCCGCTCATCTTCCTCCAAGCCCCATTCTCAGCACTGTACTGAGAGGAGCAGCCGCCTTACCCCCACCCTCTGGGCTAATCCCAGGTTCTGGTTTGTCCGGGGTGGGGCCCAATCCTGGAGTGGGCTGGCACACGCAGTGCTGCTTTATTAAGCCCTGGACTTGTCCTGAGGCAGCAGGACCAAGCCTGGCCGCGGAATCTTTGGTACCAGTAACAGAACCTCTGCCACCCAGGCGAGCCCACCTGCTGCCATGGGCCGCTACCGCATCCACGTGTCCACCGGGGCCTGGCTCTTCTCTGGGTCCTTCAACCGCGTGCAGCTGTGGCTGGTCGGGGAGCGCGGGGAGGCGGAGCTGGAGCTGCAGCTGCGGCCGGCGCGGGGCCAGGTGGGCGGGGCAAGCGGGACTCAGACCCCCTGACTGGGCTGGCTGAGTGAGGGTGGGCGGCACCTGAGAAGCTGAGAGCCAGTGACAGCACAGCCGCGCCAGCTGGGACTTCCAATGAGAAGGGACGCCTGCCTCTGAGCGGGTGAAAAATCCAGAGTCAGGGCCGGCGCTGAGCTGCCTCCCCCAGTGGTCCACGCAGCCGCCACTACTTCCCAATTTACCGGAGGCCAGTGTCTCTGTGGGGTCAGCGGTCAAAGAGAAGGTCCCAGGAGAGCGCGAAGGCTGCGAGCGCTCAGTGAATGGACAGGTGTAGGTGATGATGCTCAGTCCTCAATTCAAAACACTCAGGGCCTCGTCCCGCGTTCCAGGTCTTCCCGGTGAGATGGGCATCTGAGACCCACCGCGCCGGTGTTGGGAGGAGGCAATGCTGTCTTTGGCGGTTTTGTCACTGGACTCCACAAAGGACCCTGCACCCCAGTAAACGTCCTGTCCCGGGTCCCCGCTACTAAGTCTCACCGGGTTCTGTCCCCACAGGTGGAGGAGTTTGAACAGGACATTCCCCAGGACCTGGGGCCACTGCAGTTGGTGAAGTTGCGCAAACACCACTCCCTGGTGGACGACGCCTGGTTCTGCGACCGCATCACCGTGCAGGGCCCAGGAGCCTTAGAGGAGGCCGCCTTCCCCTGCTACCGCTGGGTGCAGGGCCAGGGCGTGCTGACCCTGCCCGAGGGCACCGGTGAGGGGCCGCTTCGGGGAAGAGGGTGCAGGGCGTAGGGAGCAGTGGGGAGAGGGACATAGGGGATATCACTGAGGAAGGTCCTAAGGGTTTAAAAAGCGCGTGCTCAGCAGGTTAAAGGTGGACAAGACAAGGGGAATGTTATACAGAGAATGAAAGAGCTGGAGCTGGGACTGGACAAGGAAATAATGGATGTGTAGATCCCACCTCCCCAAAAAGGTGAGCACAGGGGATGGGAGGTGCAGCCATGCTGGAAACATAAGAGACAAAGTAAAGGGGAAAGGAGATCTCCATGTGACTGGGGACATGGTAGGGCAGGGACAGGTAAGGCTAGCACATGGGACCCCTGAGAGGAGGCATGTAAGAGAAGCAACAAATAATATGACATGAAGAGCGGGTTTGGGGTGAAAATATGAAAAACAGCTCTGAGGGCAGGGAGCACACTGACAGGGTGAGGATGAATGAGGACAGCAAAGAGAGAATCTGTTACCTTAGGAAATAAGAACAAGAGACAATTGAGGGAAATGACAGGTAAGACTGGAAACCTGAACTAAAATGTCTTTGAGGCACAAGTAAGTATAAGTACTGATGAGGGCAGGATTAAGCCAGGTTACCAACTATAAATTATGTGAAGTTGAGAATAGGTGAGATGAAGCCAGGTAAATGTAGCAACATGGATTCATTACTCGGTTTGGCGCACATAGAATACCTTATGCCAGGGGAACAGGTGACAGTGGAAGTAGGCTGAGGTCAGAGAATGTAAGTGTACCTCACTTAAAATATGTCATTTTGGAGAACAGCTTAAGGTGTGGACAGGAAAGAACCAGGACAGGGGAAATTAACAAAGAAATATGGGATCATGTAGGATAGGTGTGGACGGTGTGGACATTTCAGCTGAGTAAGAATGAAGTTTATAGCTACTGTAACGAAGAACAGTGATAGAAAATTTTGAGTGAAGGGTTACAATAAGGCATCAAAAAATTGGATTTTCCTTTCAGGATAAACATGAGATTGGAGATTGGTAAAATCAAGAAAACAGAGAGGGTGAAGATGAATGACTAGGGAATTAAGCAGGGAGAGAGAGCCAGAGAAAAAGGCAGAGTATGATGCCATACGGTTAAGGAACAGGAGATTGTGATCCCACTTCTAGGAATATATCCTTAGAAGTCCTTAACACCAATCATAAAGAATATATGCACCCCTACATTCATTGCAGCATTATTTACAACTAGAGGCCCAGTGCACCAAATTCGTGCATGGGGTAGGGGGAAGGTGGGTGTCCCTCAGCCCAACCTGCACCCTCTTCAATCTGGGACCCCTCGAGGGATGTCCGACTGCCCGTTTAAACGGGCTTCCCTCTCACAATCCAGGACTGCTGGCTCCCAACCACTTGCCTGCCTGCCTGCCTGATTGCCCCTAATCACTTCTGCCTGCCAGCCTGATCACCCCGTAACAACTCCCTTGCCAGCCCAATTGACACCTAACTGCTCTCCTGCCAGCCCGGTCACTCACTGCCCTCCCCATGGAGGGTCTGGGGTGCAGGTGAGTGGGATTCCTGGGTGGCATGCCACTGACAGCAAGCTGAGCAACAGCCAATTTCACCAGGAATGGAGCTTCCTCTGCCCCCCCTTGCCAGCCTAGTCACCCCTAACTGCCCTCCCCTGCTGGCCTGGTTGCCCCCAACTGCCCTCTGCTACAGGCCTTGTTGCCCACAACTGCCCTCCCATGCTGGCCTGGTCACCCCTAACTTCCCTCCCTAACCAGCCTGGTTGCCCCTAACTGCCCTCCTCTGCCAGCTCGATTGCCCCTAACTGCTCTTCCCTGCAGACCTGGTCCCCCGCAACTGCCCTCCCCTGCAGGCCTGGTTCTCCCTAACTTCCCTCCCCTGCAGGCCTGATTGCCCCTAACTGCCCTCCCTTTCCGGCCTGGTCACCCCTAACTGCTCTCGCCTGCAGGCATGGTCCCCCCCAACTGCCCTCCCCTGTTGGCCTGGTTGCCCCTAACTGCCCTTCCTTGCTCGCCTGGTCCCTCTCAACTTCCCTCCCCTGCAGGCCAGGTAGCCTCCAACTGCCCTCCCCTGCTGGCCATCTTGTGGCAGCCATCTTTGATGACATGGGGGTGGCTATCTTGTGTGTTTGGAGTGATGGTCAATTTGCATATTACCTCTTTATTAGATAGTATGCCTAAGATCTGGAAACAGCTCAAATGCCCATCATTAGATGACTGGATAAAAAAAATCTGTGGTCTACTTACACAATGGAATAGTGTGCAGCTGTAAACAAGAAGGCTTTCTTACCCTTTGCAACAGCATGGATAGACCTGCTGTTGCAAAGGCTAATAATGGGAGAATATTATGCTGCGTAAAATAAGCCAATCAGAGAAAGACAAATATCACATGATCTCACTTATAAGTGGAATCTAATGAACACAATAAACTGATGAACAAAAAGATCCAGAGGCATGGAGGCATGGAACAGACTGACATACTCAGAGGTGGGGGTGGAGGTTGAGATGGGCAGAGCTTAACCAAAGAACTTATATATATATATACACATGCATAACCAATGGATACAGCCAATAGTGTAGTGAAAGCCTCAAGTGGGGCAGGGGCTGGAAGGAGGAGAGAAAGGAGGTAATAATTGAAAGACATCTATACTACTGTCAACAATTTAAAAATAAAAAGAAACAGGATATGGACGAAGCCAAGGCATACCATGAGATTGCAAAAAGCACTTGAGGAGAATTGCTGTAATGTCTCCTCAGCCCGCCTGGCAGGAAACAATACCTTGGATGTGTTCCAGAAGCATCGAGAAAAGGAACTGGAGGAAAGACAGCAAATCTACTGGTGATCACCCTATTAGAAGCCTCCCAATTACACCCCCATCCCCTGACAACTTCCTCCTTCAATACTTCTACCCCCTCCATTAACCTTTGTCCCCATATCCTAGTTGGGCCACCTGGAAGGAAGAGTTACCCATGACAATTGCTGCAGGCAGTATAGATGATCTGCCTCCAAATATGAGATTCCATGAGCAGAAGAGGCTTCACTATGGATGGGCAGCGATTGCAGGGTGAGGAAATGGTCAGAGTGGAGTGGGGCTGGTGGATCCAGGAACAGATAGGATTTGGTAAATTGGTGGTTTCATCTTTGATATCTGCTCTAGGCTTATGGAGATGGTCCTCAAATATGTTTACACCCTCCCAAGCCCCTGGAAACGCCTGGAAGATATTGATCAGATCTTCTGGGGACAAAAGACTGCCCTGGCTGGTCAGTTGTTTGCCCAGGTCCACCATAACCCCTTAATGACCCTATTAATGAGGTATGTGTCACATTGCATAGTCTCGGGAACTTCCTGCCAAAAAAGGAATTTGAGGGCTGGGGATCTCACAAAGGCCTCATGAATGAAAATATATGGGCTGGGTATGGAGGAGGCAAATTAGAGGTGAGGATGTAGAGAAAAGCATTGAAGCTGGATTCTGCCAATAAAGCTGACCATTAGGAGATGGTGGGGAAAGGAGCTTGGGCAGCCTGACAAAGGGAGAGCCTGGCATACCTGTGCTACAGAATCAACTGGCATACTTAGTCCTAAAACTTCCTGACACAGACAAGCTGCAGGTCTCTAGGGAAGACTCCTTTCATGGGGTCTTAGTCCTCCCTGTAAAATAAGAGAACTTGAACTTGATGTTCTGGTGCTTCCGTCAGTTCAGCCACTGTGGCTCAGGTACTGACATGGGCTAATGGCAAGAAGAGAGAGCGACTGTCTTTACATTCTTCCCCTTTGCCTTGGCCATGGGGAAGAACGCTTTCAACTCTAACCCTGGGTACATTACACTTTCCTTAGAAAGGTTCCCTGTTTGAGGCTGACTTCATCCTACTGGATGGGATCCCAGCCAATGTGATCCAAGGAGAGCAGCAGTACCTGGCTGCCCCCCTTGTCATGTTGAAGATGGAAGCCAGTGGGAAGCTGCTACCCATGGTCATCCAGGTGAGGTACCCTGGGTATCCCATTCCCAACACTGCCCTGTGTTCATCCCCAACCTCTGCCAAAGGACACAGACAGAAGGCTCTGGTCACCCATCCCTGCCTCATTCAATGACACCTGTCCTTATATCCAATATCTCCTTTCTACCTGACAGCCTACTTACTACTCACCTGGAATTGCCTTTCTGAGAGTCAGAATGCTTTTCGCTCTCATCATAAGGTTACTTAATCTCTTTTTGACCTATGTTTCTGTGGAATACTCCTTCTTTCTTAGACATATTTTCTCCCTTGGTTTTCATGTGTTTTCACTCTTACTGTTCTCATCAATCAATTCATAAGAACTGTCAGTTATCTCACATGTCCAACTTCTTTCGATTCTACCATCCTAACTCACACCCTCATCACGTTTCTCTCAATCATACTGCATTCCCTCTTTCCAATTCCTCCTGCTTTGAACCTGACCATCATGGCACTGTCACGTCCCCTCAGCACTTAAGAGGGTGAGTGGAGGGGCCTTCATTCCTCCTCCTATATTATAATCCCTGGGAGACAATAATCTTAGTCACCAGTGTTTCCCCAGAATAATAAGCATAGTTTCTAACAGGATGAAGCCAGTGAATGCTTAACTCCTGTTTCAGATCCAGCCTCCCAGCGCCAGCTGCCCCCACCCACCACTGTTCCTGCCCCAGCGCCAGCTGCCCCACCCCACCACTGTTCCTGCCCGCAGATCCTCCACTTGCCTGGCTCCTGGCTAAGTCCTGGGTCCGAAGCTCAGATTTCCATGTTCATGAGCTCCAGTATCACTTGCTGCACACTCATCTGCTGGCTGAGGTTATTGCTGTGGCCACCATGAGGTGCCTCCCAGGACTGCACCCTGTCTACAAGGTACATACTCTACCCTCCATGTCCCACCTCCCTGACATCCCAGAGGAAGGAAACAACGCAACAATTCTCTAGGATTTAAAAAGCATAAGCCACCTGTTTGGAAAGAAGTTAACAAAGCTTCTTCTAATTGAATGAGTGCCCCTGTTATTCTAATTTAAAAATATTTGTAATTTGTAAAGTGACAAGAGGAAATTATTGTGTCGGGACCCTTGTGGCTTTATTTCTAATGTTTACATTATTTTGAGATAATCATAGATTCTTATACAGTTTTAAGAAATAATACAGAGAGATGCCATCTATATTATTAAGTCATCTTACTTAGCAAATATTCAGCACTTATTGTAAGGCACCTGATATTCTCCAGCAGAGTCTGCTGTAGAGCAGGAATACAATTTGATAAACAAAAGTATTGCTCTGCTTTTCAAAGAGCGAGCATTTAACTGGCAAGACAAATGGTACACATGAAAAATAACCAAGCAGCTGGGGAGAGGTCAATGTGGGGGCAAGGAGAGGAGACTTATGTAAGACTTTAAACAATAAAGTATTTAAATTTAAAAAGTAATAATAATAACCAGAGAACAGAATCTGGATATAAGGTTGAAATCAAGACAGAGAGCAATAAACACTATATTTTTGATGGAGAATGTTCCACCACAGCTTAGGATTCATTAAGTAAAAGGTCAAAGAAATAAAAGAGCTGCCTAAGGGGTATTTAACCTGCCCAATGAAAGGTACATGACATGGTAGTTAGATCAATGGAAAGGAAAATGCAAAGACTTTGTGATGAGAGGAAATAGTAGTTGCACCATGCCTGGGTGGCTGCTT